GTGCTGTCTGTGGCACGCGTGTATAGATTGCCATCGTGACTATGTAATGAATTCCAACCTCTGCTGCATACACGGTCTAGCATGAGCGGTAAACCATTTTTATCTTCAATCTGATACTTACATGATTTATTGATTTCCTCAGAAGTAATTTCCCCTATCGCTTCCACTGGGAATTGTAAGCCCACACTCTTGTCTCGGTCAGTCCAGGAAGTGGTACTGTTATATACCAAAATTCTTAACACTTCGACAAGTGTGTTCATACCGTTATTATACTGTCATGTGCAGGGGTTGTTGCGCGTGACTTAAAAGACGGGTTTTGGATTGGATGAGTGGTTTTATTGCACCTTATACATACATAACTCTGAACAACGGCGCTATATCTGATCTACACACTCTACGGTTCACCGTTACACATGCGCTAGAATTCTCAGTCTTCACTAGTCGTATCCTGGCAACGGATTTATAACCGTCTCATTGTAACTTCTAATCACACGTGACGTCTTCCTTGTACAGCCTAATTCATTTCTCGACATTCTCAATTATCTTCGCAACCGCTTGCTGCGTGAATGTGCATTTTGTAGTCACATTAATTGTACACTGTTTCTCAAATACTAATGACGGGACAGCGAAATAATGAACACAGACCTCACCCACTCCGCTAATTATCACTTGCACTGTGGCTCTTGTATCGTGTTTGTCTATCCAGTCTCATCTTAAGTTTTGATATGCGTGGAGGGGGGAAGTGGCAGGCTTGAACCAGTATCAGCCGTGTTCATGCTTTCCCTGATCCGAATGCAGTGTAGAGGGGAATCCCCGACAATCCTTTTCCCTGCTCACGCCAGAACCTGTTGTAATGGCTGACAGGAGCGAGTCTTTACATTTAAATAGAAAACATTAATTCATATGGCGGTTTAAATTAGCTTATTTACAAACATGTGTTGAATTGACAAGTGCTGAAACCCATGTACTCGTATGAAGGAAGTTAAATAGGCCTAGCTATGATCTAGTCTTCATCATTCATTTCTCACCTCTCATTTCATGTTGGTTTTGTATTTTAAACGAAGTCGTACTTCTTAGGGTTCGAGGTTCTGACACCGGTGGTTACGAAGAACACTATATTCTGGCATGTAACGTCGCGTAGTCCGTTGAAAGTTAACCGATGTTTCGGGATTACACGTCGCCTCCATCTTCAGGGTCGAGAGTAAAACACCAGCATGAAGCAGGTAGCAAACACTTCTCGATCCTGAAGATGGAGGCGGCATGTTCCTCCGAAACGTCTGACGACTTTCGACGTACTACACGGCGTTACACCCCAGAAGATAGTGTTCGAGTTGTATTTCGTCTGTACTTAGTCCCAACGTTTTTCAGCCAGTATTTCGACGTGAATTACGAATCTAGTATTACCGGCCGTGCGATTGGTCGTGAGACTATGGAACAGATCCCTGAACAGCAGTCAGTCCATGAGAGAACAATAATTTGTTTTACTAAGCTTTTTAGCATAGGCCTGTATTTTACAGTCAGGACGCATGCCTATCAACTTTCCTTGAGGGTTCCCTTTTCCTCTTCAAACTGACTAATACACGTACTTCCCCCACCAGTGAACCGGGGTGACTGAAGAAGACATTAAAAATGTAGGGAATATAATCGCCCCATCACATCGTAAACAATTCTGCGGCGTCGGGTGTCAGATTGTCTCAGATTTCTCGAGTTATAAAACGGTGCGACATTAAAATGTTTTACGTTTACGAAACCCATTGATTTAGGTTGACGTCTGGACGTTCGGTTTGCGTTTTCTGCATTGTATGACGGGTGTGGAAAGCAGGCAGAGACAGAAGCACTAGCTTAGGTACAGGACAAGACATGTAGTAAACCTTCACAGAAGTGTTCCGATAATACCGCATAGCTTAACGGAAGAAAGCGTAATTAAACATTAAACATAGGCACGTATTTTATTTTCCTCTACAAAATGGTTCAAAATATTTTATCTAGTTAAATATTCAGTGAGTTACCGCGAGAAATGCTGGCTGAATGCATGCAGATCTTCATCTGAAGTGTTCGTTACTGTTGTTCGATTTTAATCAAAATTGGAGTATGCGTGCGGTAATGTTTTTTAATAAATCTCTCTAGTACCAAATTTCATGAAAATTCGTTGAGCGATTCTGGAACTCTTAAATATTGACGGACAGGCAGAGAGAGAGACGGTGAAACTAATAGCCAAATTTATGCAACTTGTCATTGTGAACCCGTAAAAAAAAACACGGCGGCGAGACACGGTTCTATCAGGAGATCTCTGAATGCGAATGTCTGAGTTTGAGGTTCGTGTCAGTGAGGCCTGTGATAGGAAATCTCTAAGTCATCAAGAGATTTTCATTTTTATTGTCTACAGCATCAAGTGTCAAGTGTCAAGTTGTTTGTACTCGAAGAAAATAACTTGCATTAGTCTGCTCCCCTTCCGTCCAGCCTCGGGCCTCATATCGACACAGCAGATAAAAGAGGTTGGCGCCGACTTTCCATTAAAGTAGCGGACAGCGGGAAACGCAACTGCAGCGCAAGTCTACAGTCACGTCCCGATTTCATGACCCCCTGTATCAACGCTCAAAGCTGACCGCCTCGAAACAGCACTGGCCAACAGATACGTGTTTACGAAGCGTTTTGCAGGTATACTGGACATATAAACATAACTGCCATGTTGCTTGCTCTACAACCCCCCACCCGGTCTCTCTATAATGTAACGCCCCCCGCCTCTCTCTCTCTATATATATATATAATGTAGAAATGGAATAAAAGCTCTGAAATAATGCCGCCCTTTCGGGTTACCACAGCAACGAATTGTCGAGCGTTAACGTGTTGCATGAAAGTAAATTATGCAGTGTGTCAGGAAGGAGCGCGCAGTCTTCATATTCAGTGTATCGTGTCTATTCTATGAGTACTGTTAATATTTCGCTCAGATATATGCTATATAGTATGCTGTGTAAAGGAGACGTATATACGATTGATCATTTGTGCGTGTTATTCGTGGGAGATGGCGTTAAACTCCGGTCTCTACGTATCACTACTTAATATATACGACTGGAGGGAACACGGAAGAAAGCAGGCGAAGTTAATAGTCACTCACTCAAGGAGCTGAGCACTTCTTGAGAAGCCGTTAATTGTGCAACCACTCAAGAACTTTCCAGCATTTTATGTAACCCGAAGGTTTATTACCGTGTTCTCAAGAGCTCTCAACTGGTCCCTATCCTGAGCCAGATCAATCCAATCCATATCATCCCATCCTATCTCTCTAAGATCCGTTTTAATATTGTCCACACACCTACTCCTTGGTCTTCCCAGTGGTCTCTTTCCTTCTGGCTTTCCCACCAATATCATATATGCATTGGAAGTTAATAGTGCGTAAGGTTATGTAACGAGTTGTGAAGACTTCCGGGTGTCATGCTAGTAAATAAGTAAATGCTTTCCCACTTCACACCGAATGGCAGAACGGCTGTAAATGTGTGGATCCAAATATTGACACCGCCCCCGGGCCCCCACACACGCGAATAATGCGGAAGGAAGCGCCGTCTTCCTGTTTGCAAGTACCGCAGTAGATCCACAGTTCTGCTGTAGAAAGCTTCCAGCGCTGCGACATTTAGTGATGTGGTAAATGGGTGTTGGACGTGGTCACGCTCAGTGGGTCATGCCGGCGGCAGGTGGCGATATTGACTGCACGCCCCCGCCCCCGCGTATCGCCCACTCGAGTGCAGCAGGTCGGCCGACCGCACTGCAGCAGACTGCAGACACGTGTCCCGCCTGTGGCACACACTGCAGCCCCCTGTCCTCCCAGTGTCCCTGTCATGCGCCCCGACTGACTGACCTCTACAGGGAAAGTTGGCCCTGTTGAAGGGGCCCGGCAACCAAGGTGTCCCCTCCGGCGTTTCGAAAAATCGAACAAGGAATTCTGGGAATAACCGCCTAATTTCCATCGATATGCCACGGACATCATAGAAAACGAAAAAGTTAGGTGAGGGACGCGCAGACAGCAAGGCAGTCTCATAAGCCTCACAAATAAGGTGGACACACACACAGACAGAAAGGTGGTCTAATATATAAAAGTAATTCTGGGAAGAACTAATCGCCAGCTATCCTTTGACCGCATAGAAAACCAAAAAATTAGGGACACAGACGATGAGGTGATATCATAAGCCTCCTAACAAAATTCTATGGAGGATACACAGATAGCAAGGTCACCTCACAGGCCTCCTTTTCATTGTTCAAAATAAGGAAAGTAAGCCAAAGATGACAATATGCCAGTTGTTAGTGCCAAAAATTAAAAGGACTTTTCTATCCTGAACATCCTACACGACTTAAACGGCTCAAACTCATTCTTGTAAGCAAATTCTTTACTTCACTCCCTGGCTGCTGTCATGTTCCTAGATTAAGCCGCAGTCAGAGTTACTTTGCAACTGGCGATTTGCCGCCAGTGAGTTCCATCTTAGCGCCAACTCCTTGAGACCCACGACCAGAGATTCTTTTTCTTTCAATTGAACCCTTGAGGTCGTAGTCCTTATGTGACACCATCTCTGACGAGAGGATGGGTTTGTCTCCAATGAATAGGCTTGGTCTTTGTCAAGTGTACGTATCGCGCATATAGCATGTTATTGAAAAATTCTTCCTTGTGCATATACAGGTCCTCTGTCAGTACAGGCTCTGTAAAGCAGGTCATTTTAAGGAAGTAAGGGTATCACTTGGGGCAGAATAATACTCAGTGGCGGGCTCTTAGCAACACAGTAATGGACCTTCCTTTTTTCCACGAAGGGTGGGAAATTTCTTAACTAAATGAGAGACTAATAGCTTTTCAAGAAGGACTGTGTTCCACCTGGGCACGGCTGAATTTAATATTTTTGAAGACTCTTATTTGGATGTGTAATCCGGTCATGTTACATTTCCTCTGTATTTTGCAGCAAGCACTTGATTCCATGCCATGGCTTGTACATTCTTGTAATGCCGCCCTCTACTTGTTCCAGGTGGAGTGTCCACGGCGCTGTCGATGCGATAGGGACGCTTTGTGTGCTCGTGGTTAGCGTGTTAGGGACATCTCGGTCTGCAGCCCATGCTACCTTCTCAGCCCAGCACAGGCTCCAGCAAATGCATACGCAATGAGAAGTAGTGACGGCAGGAAGACATCTTGGCCTAAGGGCGCTGCCAGTGTGGGGTCTGTCGTCGGCAGAGAAGACGACAGTTGCGGCGTAGGAACGCGGCGTCCCGACGCCGCATGGTGCTAATGACGATGGCCGAGACCCAGGTTGAACCTGCGACAAGTACAACACCCTCGACAACAACACGCAATCTCGTAGAGTCAGATCAGCGACATGGAGACAAGAAAGTCAGCAACAATAACCACCCACACGCCACAAACAACAACCACAGGAACAACAAGCAAAGGAAGAGAAAACGTCTCAACCAGGTGGTAGACAAACTTGCTACTCAGATTTCATGTTCGGGGCAGCCGCCCCTTAATAACAACTTCCACCACCACAACAACAATAACAATCACATTGATCAAGATGAGCTCAGAGCACCGTCACATGTTCTGAAGACATCGAAACACATGTTCAGTGGTCGCCAGTCCGAGGGTCAGGAGGAGGCCGGACGAGACATGGCGCCCCACGGCGATGTGTTCCGGTTTGACAGTGCGGACAGAGAGCGCTATCATTATGGCGCCATCTCGGAGGAGGACGAAGTGGAGGATGTGTTTAGTCCTGCGTCCTCGTCAAATAAGTCGCCACACAGCTCCACAACAGACTCTCCCAAAATCAATATCAGCCCACTAAGGATTAAAGACAGTAGCATTGAAGAGGAACTGGACGGTGGGAACAGCTGCACCCCTCCACCCCCACGGTTACAGGTCTGCAAGTACGTCGATCCCTCTGCAGAAGACGAGATCCAGCACTGCAGCCCTCGCCCTCGATATTCAGGGTATCCCTGTTCGTTATGCCCGACTGCAAGTGGCCTCTTACCGCATGCCCAAGACAGATTCTTCTCGCATTCACCTGTTTCCCCACAAACCCCCAAGTCCCCAGCCGCTACACCTGCCTGCGCTTTCGAACACTACTTACATGCCAAATATGCAGATCTGTTTCGTCCACGCAGCCACTCGGATTCAGACCTTCAGAACTGGTTGGAGGCGGGGAGCACAGAGAGGCCGACAGATCGAGGAGGGATAGTGCCGAGGCAGCACGGCCGGACCGTGCCTCGTCCTCTTACCTTACAGCAGCTGCCTCATCACGGGAAGGGGGGCTCGCTGGAATCGGAGCATTCCTCGCCTCAAGATTCGCCTCTGGACCTGTCCATGAAGGGAAGCCGAGAGCGTGTGGGTAGCAGCACGAGTTCCGATTCTATGCCGGCTCCATCACTGGAACCGCCTCCCGCACTGCAGCTACTGCCCCCGGGGTTCCTTCCGTCGCGGGGAGCCGTCTCCGTGCCGGTCGTTAAGGGTGATGTAGCATCGCCCACAACGAAGGAATCGGTCGCAGAACGCTATAACTTAGACGTGTCGCCCGTTGTGGAGGAGATGCCACCGGGACTGGACATGGCCTACGTGTGTCCGGTGTGCGGACAGATGTTCAGCTTACACGATCGGCTGGCCAAGCACATGGCCTCACGACACAAGAGTCGTCAGCACAGCAATGATTCTGCCGCCAAGACGTACCTATGCGAGGTCTGCAAGCGATCGTTCGCGCGCAGTGACATGCTGACTCGACACATGCGCCTCCACACGGGCGTCAAGCCGTATACTTGTAGGGTGTGCGGGCAGGTGTTCTCGCGCTCCGATCATCTCTCCACACACCAGCGTACACACACGGGCGAGAAGCCGTACAAGTGTCCGCAGTGCCCATACGCAGCATGTCGGCGGGACATGATCACCCGTCACATGAGGACTCACACTCGCTATGAACCGGGGCCCTCAAGCTCCGAAATTCCGGAGGACCATGGCAGTACCGCCTCTCCAGACTTTCCGCTTTCTCCCTCTCAGGCGCTTAGCTCATTGTCCGTGCATTCGCCGATGGACACTTCGCCCATGGACACATCCAAAGACACTTCGCACATTTCTCCCATGGACACGCCCAAAGACACTTCGCCCATGGACACGCCGAAGGACAGTGACTGAGGTCAATTATTGGTTGTGTTCCCTTCGTGGCATAAATCGCTGGAACAGAATCTGAAGCCAGTGAGACAGTTTACCGCTATGTATGCCAACTGTACACGTACGAATGACACCGTTCCTCTTGTTCTCACGTGTGACAGACAGCCACATGGAGGCTGAATAAGATCTGGGAGCAAGATTAAATTTATCATAAGTACATTAACCTCTGTCATGACTTGACTGCCATCTACGTAGACTACAAACAAGCGAATTGTAGGTTCACTTAGACAATGAAGAACGCTCACTGTGGTTCCGTGAGTGTAATGATTGAAATCATGAGGTTTGTGGCGAGGTTTGCACATCAACCAAGGAGATTTCCTTCGCTTAGGATTGAGTACATTTAACTCTATTTATGGCTGTTGTCTTATTAAGGTTCCCAATGTTATATGTGGTGGTATATGACAAAACAAAATTGTTGGCCCCTTCCTTTTTGAATAGAGCAATTTATGTGTACGAAATATTACCGCCGGTCGGTCTTTGGAATTGCGGTTTTAACACTGTATATATACATTTTTGTAAGAAAAAAAAATGTTATCAGTCCCAACCGACGCTGTATCATATTATGCGCAGGAATTTTTCTTCCTCTTCGGGTTGTCAGTGTATAGTCACATTCATAACTATGTGGACCACACAAGACACTTTTATTGTTCTCCTTTTCTATTTATCTGCTATCATCACTCTCCATGCCCCCCTCCCCCAAATTTGCTTGTGAAACATTGTAATGATCAGGAACGTACAGAAAGTGTACAGATTTGCATGTAGCGCTTTAGGGAACTACATCAGGTTCCTTCGTGCTGTAAATTCACTTTCACTTCTGAACAGTGGCGGCTTCTGTGCCCTGTACGGAGCCACAGTTCCACACATGCCGGTCATCTCCGTGCACTGTACCTACACATGACGGGAAGTGCCAACTCAAAATGATAAAAATAGCTTTCAGTTAAGAAAAATAACGACATCTATATATAGTTGTCTATTATCTTCGGATCGGAATCTCCTCGCTTTGATTGAATAATCTCGAACCTTGTCACGTGGTACTGCCTGCATTTCTGCTGGCTTCATATCGCTTCTTCCCTTACCACTTTACGGAATATCCCCAAGGATTACGGTAGTTGCTGCTTGAATTTGGGTACATAGAAAGGCCTAACTTTGGAATTCAGCGACCAAGAAAAGACTTTCTTAAAAGTTTATTTTTTTTCGCCCTATGAAAGTATGAATTATTTTAATTGTTTCCCCTGTCCTATCCATAAACCTTGATGCAAAGCAGTGAATACCCAATATTGTAACGCACCACTGTGAACAGGAACAAATGAATTAACATGTATCTTATTTAACAGAAATAAGCATAACAGCTACGAGAGGAGGATTTGATGTTCTCCCAGGGGAGGTTATGAAGATGTCTGTCTTCTGGGATATAGCGCTGTGTAGGATCTGAGGCTCTCACAGCGGTGGCCATGAAAAGTTCTACCTTCTGGGATATAGCGCTGTGTAGGATCTGAGGTTCTCACAGCGGTGGTTATGAAGAGTTCTGCCTTCTGGGATATAGCGCTGTGTAGGATCTGAGGCTCTCACAGCGGTGGTTATGAAGAGTTCTGCCTTCTGGGATATAATGCCATGAAGTCCGTTGAAAGTGAACTGACGTTTCGGAGGAATATGTAATCTCCAACTTCAGGACTCAATAATAAGCCAAGATGCCTCAACTCGATACGTGCTTGGCTTATCCTTATAACCTGAAGATGGAGGCGTCATGTTCCTCTGAAATTTCGGTTGACTTCTAGTGGACTACACGGCGTTATATCTCAGAAGATGCAACTTTTGTTCGAATTATCTCATATCTCCGATTTTGTTTTCCAATTAGGAACTCAACACCGAATGTTGTTCAATTCGGGAACAGTTTTCGTCATAATTGATTTATTTCGTTTTGCAAATTATAATTTAGAATAAACTGCTCTTCAAGGGTCTTGTTTCCCCGATTGCCACAGTGAACCTGCAGTATCCCAGAATACTCAAACTGTGTCACCTTCCAATGCCAAAATTCTAGACTTTGTAACGCTGCGGAAGGAACGAGGAAACGTTAAAACAGAACACTTATAATGTGGGTTACGTACCACACGTTGAATAACACTAGTGTATGTTTATGGGGGAAATGTATCACCTGTTTAGACCCCATTGCTTCCTCTTCACCTATTTCAGGTGAGTCTTACAGTGGGGCTTCAGTCACCGAATGTTTGCGCCGTTCACATCCGGCGTAACGTTCATGATATTATATAGGAAGATGGCCACCAGAGGCCACCACTAGCGAGTTGTGTTTACTGCCGCCACGACGCGTCTCGACCTTGCTCATTCCTTATCGATCTTCATGAGAGGCAGTGGGAAACCAGGTCACTCTCGTTAACATGTCCGAAGCAAGGCCATTACACCAGTGGCTCCCCAACATTTTTTTTTTTGTATTAGGCTCCCTTGATGTGAATATAAAAAGGCTTTATGCCCCCCCCCCAACTTATACAAATGACTTGAAACGCGATTTAATAATTACAGAAAATAATTATTAATGAAGCCTTATGGTATATACAAAGCCCCCCCCCCCCCCAGTGAAATTTCACATTTGTTATTTAACGTAACCCTTAAAAATAACTTAAAATGCGATTTAGCAATTTTGAGATAAATAATTATTGATGAACCTTTATGGTATCTATATAGCGTAATGGGTATAGCAACTGACTATGGGCTGGACGACCGAGGGATCGGAGATCGAGTCCCGGTAGTGTCAAGAATTTTCTCTTCTTCACGTTTTCGAACCGGCTCTGGGGTCCACTCAACCTCCTATCCAATGGGAACCGGGGGTAAAGCGGCCGGGGCGTGAAGCTAACCACTCACCTCCAGCTAGTGCCTGGATCAAGAAAATGTGTGGATATATACATCCACTCCCCCATACGCCTTTATGGCGTAGTGCTTAATTAGTTAAGCACAGAGACAACTTAACATTTTTATGGTATCTACGAAGTATTTTTTTTACTTAAATTGCATATCTGTGATTAAACGTAGCCTTATAGTGTTGAAATGAATTCAGAATTTGTCATCGGTCAATTTTTCGGGAAAGCTTTAAAGTTCCCTGGGGAGCCACTGTTCTCACTTCGGGAGACGCTGATGTACACGTCCTACAAGACTATAAATTACGGTATACAGAAGTTCATAATCAGCTTCCTATGTGATTTTACATAAAGCTTAGATTATCATCATATTAAGAAATACATATAAATTCAAAGTTTAAAAATATCATCAGCTTTAATTTTTCGTTGTATGGAAACAAAAAATTAAAATTCTGCAGTAAACCCTCCCTAGAAATCTGCGCTCTCGGTGACACCGCGAGGGGGGGGGGACTTAACGCTGATGTCAGTTGAGTTGAAGGTTTACGCTCTTACACACGCTGAACAAAACAAAGCTTGTCACGCAAATACGTAGGGGGGGAAAAAAACTAAACCATCTTTAGCTTTTTGAAACAGCGGCGCTATTTAGGATGTCACGTTTTCACAACGGTTGTCATGGAAACGTCGGCTGACTTTCAGCGGACTACACGGCGTTGTAGCTACAAGATAGAACTCTTTAGTTGCGGTATTTTTCGTAAGCTTCTGTATTGTGTTTGAAAGGCCAGTATAATCGAATTTTCCTCTTTCGGCAGATAAGTATTTGCATTTATTTTCAGGCGTATAATCGAACCGCACTGACGAAGGGTTCGCCGTAATGCCCCGCGTGTAANCTCTAACAGGCCATGGAGGTCCATAGGGTTGTGAGATGTTGAGGCTCCCACTTTTTGTAGACACTCGGCTCATAGATGGCGGTAAGGTTGTCAGCCTTACGCGCCGGCCGCCCTTTGCCTCCAGGAAGATTCCTGGTACTCATTTCTGTTAGAGGCTGAGTCGACCCCAGGATCATAGTGAGACTGGAAGGATTAGGTCAATTGAAAACAAATCCAATGACCTCATTGGGACTTGAAGCTGCGATCTTCCGGCTTGTAGCATAGTGCCCCAACCAACTACGCTACCGCGTGCCCACACAGAAACACACACACACCCACCCACACACAAAATGTTCTAGGTTAATATTACCACTCCGCGCTTCAAATTCATGTCAAAATGTCTTATCGAAACTGGATAGTGGAAACTCTTCTGTACTTAAATGGAAGGGTCATTTATACATACGTTTAAACCAAGGAATTCAAGCTGATCTTAACACACTCTTGAGAAGAGACAAGCAGATACGTTTAGTCGTGTAAGGAGCATATGAAGTAGATATAAAAACGTAGGCTCAGTTGCTTAAAATTGATTCCAATAATTTACGCCCAGAAGTTAAGAAACAATGGGCGTTTCCAGGACAACAGCCCACTGAAATTAGTACAAGGGACACAGCATTATTTAGTCAGCTATAAATCTTATAATTCTGTGAGGGACATTTATCGACCTTGTACAAAAAAAATCATATTATCGAATGTCACAGATGAAGATCAAGCGTAGGCTGGCGTATTGGGGCGTGTACGTCACTCCATCAAAGGGTAGCGTGTTGATCATGATTAAGTTTTACATGAACCCTAGTAGCATAAGGTAACCGTTAATATGTCAAAAGCAAGGCCGAACTGCGAGGCTGTCTACATACATACATAAGTTGAAGTTGATCGAATTTAACCTACACTCTGGTGGTTATGTTGTCTGTCTGTTAAACTTGTCGGAAACAAGGCTGAAAAGCGTCTGTAGTTGTTACGGCATCCTTATCGCTGGGGCGTCTTTTCGATCAAAAGTTGGAAAACTTTACGTTTGAGAAATACTACGATTTGTAATTTTAACGAAGGCAAAATCTGCAATTTTCATATTATGATCGTGTAGTCTGGTTGAAAGTTACAAATGTTTCGGAGAAGTCTACTGCCTCCATGTTCAGCGTAGAAGAGTAAGTCGGGCGTATGCAAATAGTGAACGGGAGTACCGGGACTAGTATACTGAACGAACCAGAAGCAGAGATTGGCCCTTTAAAGGCCCGTCTTTCAGGAGCAGAGTCAAAGGGAGACAGACAGACGGACGAATTCAGAGGGCTTGGCAGATCGGAATTAAATAGCTGAAGACAGACAAAAGAGTAAAATGAATTATAAATAGGAATTTGAATGATCTCTACCAAGCTTTTACCCTGAAGAAGGTTCCTCTTTAATATTAATAACCATTTTCGAGACTATATTGTGCCATAATCCTGACCAATACAATATACAGAAAATCTATAACGGTTGATTTTTTGATTGAATGGGTAACCTGCCTTCATCAAGGTAAATCCTACATGGAAGTCTGAGTATGTGAATGAACATTCCCTAGTAGTTAGACAGTCATGTCTGAGACTTAAAGTTACTCTGCCGTCAGCTGAAGTATCCCATGCTCTCCTCTAAGACTGCTTGATGCTATTTCAACACAACACAAACCCTTAATACTGTTTAAGCCAAGGCGTACTGCAGTTGTGACGCTGAACCTGACTTTGGGGCTTCTGTGCCGTCTGTGTGCAACAGCCTTCACGACTTTGCACACAGACGGCGCAAAAGGTCCAAAGTCACACCTATATATAGTGCAACAGGATGCTGAACGTTAACATTTCAGCAAAGGAGGCCCGCCGTGTAGCAAATGCTGGATCGTTTATTGACCCCCTTTAAGCATGAAATTATTGAAGAATGCCGTCTTCTGGGATGTGGCGCCGTGTAGGTAAGTGCGTTCAGTTAAGGAGGAAACTTCGCAACACCGCTGACCCGGCCCAACATTCCTCCCAGATTGCTGCTGTAACTGCTGATAACAGAATGCGTCATTAGCGCTGA